GGGTTTAGGGTGTACGGTTTAGGGTCTAATAGGGTTTAGGGTCTAGGTTTTAGTCTAGGGTGTAGGGTTTAGGGAGGGGGGATTTAGGGTTTACCCCATCTGGGTCTTCAGTTCGCGACTGTCCATTCGGCGCCTCAGGCGATTGGATCAGTTGAACCCAATTTAAAGGACACTACAGGTGGGGAGTTTCGAGTATATAGGGCTTCTATAAGGCTTCCATAAGGTATATAGACCTTCTATAAGGCTCCTATAACGGTAACTACCCACCTGAAAATGTCCTAGACCAATAGCCAGACAAGGCAGCTGAACAGAACATCCACCACAAGGGGTGGGCTTGATTAGACCCTAAACCCTAAACCATAAACGCTTTTAAATCCTAAACCCTAAACGCTAAACGCTAAACCCTGGACCCTAAATGCTAAAGCCTAGACCCTAAATGCTAAACCCTATATCCTAAACCCTAAACCCAAAACCCTAGACCCTAGACCATGAACCCGGAAACCCCGAAACGGTTCAACCCGCAGTCCCCGGAGCCAACCCTATATCCTAAACCCTAAACCCTAAACCCTAAACTCTAAACCCTAAACCCTAAACCCTAAACCCTAAACCTTAGGCAAAGCTTCCTTTTGTCCCTGAGATTCCGAGGTCAAGGCGTCGGCCTCGGTGGCATGGCTGCCGTCCTCCTGCCAGGGGATACAGATCGCAGCTATTCAACTTTAGGGTTAGGGTTGCTAGTTAGGGTTTAGGGTTTAAGCTTTAGGGTTTAGGGTTTAGGGTTTAGGGTTTAAGCTTTAGGGCTTTGGGGTTAAGGCGCTAGGGTGGCTTTAGGGTTTAGGGTTTAGGCCCTCATCATGATCATCATCATGGTTATCATCGTCACCCCTCGCTATCACCCTCACCATCGCGATCATCACCATTCGCCGGTCACTATCACCAAAATGGGTAACGGTAACGGTATCAACACTGTCACCCTCATTGTCGTCATTACCGCCGCAATCTTCTTCTTCGTTGGTGATGACGTCCAGAAGGCGAGTATCATAACGGTAGTAGACAGTCCGCGCAAAAGGCAAAGCCCAATAATAGCAGCAAGACGGGTAACATAGGGGCCCTAATAATTAGAATAGGGTTTTGGAGCCCATGATACCAAAATTAGAATAAGGAGCCCCCAAAAAATAGTATTGGTGACTATTTGGGAGCTTCCGAAAATAGGGGGTACCTTATTTGGGAGGTCTTATAATAAGGATCCTACTATTTAGGGTACTATATTAAGGTCCCCTATTTTCTGAAACCCCAATTTAGGCCCCTACATTACTACTCAAGTTACCGAACGCAGCGCCTCCGTCACATGCACCGTCGGCACCTCGGCATAGGGGCACTTGGGAGCGCTGAGGTTCAGGGCCCTGGATTCGGAGTTTGGTGAAGTACCTTAGGTTTAGGGTTTAGGGTTTAGGGCTTAGGGGTTTAAGGGTTTAGGGTTTAGGGTTTAGGGTTTAGGGTTGAGGGTTTAAGGTTGAGGGTTTAGGGTCCTTGAACTACCATAATCCACTTTTTTGTAGGTCCTTATTATAAACCCTAACATAGACTTGATAGGGACCGTACTCAAAAAAGTAGGTTTTGGTAGTTTAAGGTAGATCTTTATCAGCCCTGCAATGAAAAACACGAGCCCTACATTCGCCGGGAGAGCCAAACGACTCTCACAGTCAGCCCTCTGTCTAAAACGTGAACAAAAGCCGCCAAAAAGAACCTAAACCCCTCCGGGTCTAGAAATACGGTAGAAGCCTAAACCCTAAACCCTAAACCCTAAACCCTAAACCCTAAATAATTACCAGTATTCTTCCTTAAGGTTCCTTATTTCGCAAATGTACTATAAAAGAACCCAAAACCCTATTCTAACTATTCCTGCATTCAGCTCAGCTGCAAGATTCGTCTTCAAGGTTCAGAGTCTCCCCACCCCCATAACTTCCCAAGCCCTGAACTGCTGAATATGCCTGCTTTTGTAGCCATGCGGCGAAGGGGTGCGCGGGCTGGAGCCCGCAATCATCCAGCCATGTTACGAAGCCTTGATTCGAAAATTCGGGATTCAGGATTACACATTAAGGTTTTTTTAGGGCTTTATAGGGTACTAAAGGGTATTTGAAGCTCTTTCAGGAATACACTTTAAGGTTTTATAGGGCTTTATAGGGTACTAAAGGGTATTTGAAGCTCTTCCAGGATGCTGTCGGGGTGCTTCTTGGTTCTATTGAGTTTTACAAGCTGTTATACGGGCTTAGGGTGTACGCTGCAGACGGTTCCGAGTCCAGAACATAAGGTTTAGGGTTTAGGGTTTACTTCTTGGCTTTGGTGTTAGTGAGGTCAGCCGATGAGAAAAAACATCGTCAAGGCCTGAACGGCTCAAAATTTAGGTTCATTGGCTTTGGCTTTGCACTGAACGGTGGCTTCATTAGGACAATTAGAGCGGTAGTCTCTTGAAAGATGTACGCTTATGTGTTTGGGGTTCACATAGCTCAAACTTTCATTGGGCATATGCTCCATGGAACTCCGCTGGGGCTTCGCTGTTGCTTCACAAGTAAACATGCCCCACCCGAGAATCTAGGCTTCCGAACCCTACCTATAGTCTCCATTGTAGTTCCTTTTTTTGGTTTAACCAAATATATACTAAAGAATTTTATAAGGTATCCCCAAAAAGGAACTACAATGGAGACTATAGGCAAACCCCAAATCCTAAGATCGAGCACCGGCCTAGCTTCAAGTTTAGGGTTTAGGGTGCTCTGTGTTTCAGGGTTCCTTAAGAGCATGGGTGAGTGCATGTTCGACAAAGACATTCTTCACATAGTTACGCCAGACAAGCTTTCGGATGTAGTCTAAGGGCCCTTTATACAGAGTTTGAACGAGCAATAGAGACATGAACCCGAAACTCTAAATCCACTTAACATCTAGAGAGATGCTACAGCTGCTAAAGATTCTCAGCCCTATTGGCCCTCACCTCCGATACACGTCACCCTCGTCCAGTGCAGCCTTAACAATTCACCTAGGAGTTTGGAGTGTTTTCTAGAATAGCTCTGAAGGGGCCATTAGGGGAAATGTTTCTAATAGTTCTGACTTTCTCAACCCCCAAACCCTGAAAACTGAACCCGAAGCCCCAAACGGCGAAGCAAGAAGCAGTGCACAGCAGGGGCGAGCCCGGCCACGATCTCCACGGAGCTTGCAGTGCTCGGAACCTCGTCGTTCCGGTTGCTTGCAGCCCTAAACCCGAAACCCGAAACCCTGAACCCCGTTAATATATGGGCCTGAATAATTAGAATAGGGTTTTAGGGAATAGTATACTATACTGATATTAAGGAACCCCTAACATAGTATGTATTTCTAGCTTTTTAGGCCCCTACAGTATGCCGTTCGGTGTGCAGAGAACTGCAGACGATTAGGATTTAGGCCCAAGGGTGTATCTGCTGCATATAGGCTCAGGGTTCAGGAGAAATACGGTTGATGATATAAATCCTGCATCACCTTAGGGACCCTAAACTATGGGAATTATTGGGAATTATGGTATAGTCCTTATCATGGGTAGTGCAGGGTTTATATCAACAACAGTAGTACTTCTAGAGAGGAAATCGGTGCCCGAGGAGGCATCCTACTTGAGATGATGCTTATACCTCTATAATAGAGCACGTACTTACTGACTAAGTCGTCCGCCCCTCCAAGTACACTCCGAATCCTAAGTCAGTCTGCACCCCTAAAGTCCAAACGGGCAAACCCTAACTAAAGGCCCAAACCCTGTCAGTCGTTTTGAAAGACAGAGGCCCGCAACCCGAGGGAAAGATCTCGAAGGCACGTAAGAACCCCAATAATTTTTGGGCGACAATACTTAGAATCAAGCTTCGGGGTAATTCTGTACGCTGTAGAAAAGTATATAAAGACTTTCCGAGGGATGTCGCTAGACAAAAACATATTCAGGTGTCTCTAATGCAGCACATGGGTGGTCTAGAAACCTTAAACCCTAAACTCTAAACCCCCAACCCTAAACCCTAAACCCTAAGCCCTAAACCCTAAACCCCTTAAAGAGACCTTAGGTTCTTCTGGGGAGGGTTCCTACATGAGGCCGGCGCCTGGGTCTGGCAAATTAGGGTTTAGGCTTTAGGGGTTTAGGGTTTAGGGTTCAGGGTTTAGGTACTGGCACCCTGCACTCTGATAATTGGGGGTCTTTGAGGGTTTAGAGGGTTTAGACTTCTGTGAGAGTTTAGGGATATTAGGGTTGTAGGGCTTTGGGTTATATCCTGTTTATAGGATTTAGACTTATAGTTTAGGGATGCTTAGCTTGTAGGGTTCGGTGTGATGTCCTGCCTCCATAACATGCAGCCCGGGTGAGGACGGGAGCTGTGCATAGGCCAGCGTAGGTGACAGCAGCTTTCCCGGCAACTCCTCAGCGTGTCGTGCCGAGCTCGGGTGCTATAAGTATAGAGACAGGAATTCTAGGGTTTGGGGGTCTAGGGTTTTAGAGGTTCAATATGTTTTCGGAGGGAGGCTGAGCTGGGGTGCTACTGTAGGGGCCCTGCTAATTAAAATAGGGTTGACCGGTATATTATACTTGATAAGGAACCCCCCAAATAGTATAGGTGACTATCTAGGCCCCTATATTGCAGGGTTCTCGACGGGCCCGGTAAGAGTTTGGCAGGTTTAGCGTTCCCGAACCTTGACAAACCGGTGCACCCCAGAACCTCTCACCAAACACCACGCCCGAACCTTGAAGTCAGGTAGTAAATCCCCAGAGAGCCCCATACCCCTTAAATAAGGATTATAGCTTAAACTATAGGGGCCTTAAGATTATGAGGTATATTCCTTAATTAAGGATTATACCTTAAACTATAGAGGCCTTAGTATTTTCATTAAAGGTATATTCCGTAATTAAGGGGTATTGAGCTCTTTGGGTCTTGCCAGAGCCGCTTTGTTTAGCACTCTCTAAGTCCCGCTGAGAGTCCCTCGATACTCTACGGTCACGCCACTGAACTATAGTGGTTTTCATATACGAGGCCCTAAACCCTAAACCCTAAACCCTAAACCCCAAACCCTAAACTAAACCCTAAACCCAAAGCCCAAAACCCTAAACCCTAAACACTAAACCCCAAAGGTGTCGAGGCTTCTGCTTCTGCACCTCAAGAGGCTCAAAAGGCTAAGCCGAACGGCCTCGAACAGGGTCGCAGCAAGAAATGCGTCGCTGGACAGCAGAGGACTTGTCGATGGAAGAAGAACGGTACCTCACTTCGAGGTTCCGGGCTTCAGCAATCTATAGGGTTTAGGGCTTAGGGCTTGCAGTTTCGGGCTGAGGGTTTAGGGTTTAGGGCTTAGGGTTTACAGCTTGGGGCTGAGGGTTTAGGGTTTAGGGCTTTGGATTTACAGTTTAGTAGTTTAGGGATGTTTAGGGTTTAAGAAGGGTTGGGGAGGTTTAGGGGGAGCTTTATGTTAAAGGAAACTACTGGTGGGAAGTCGAGGGTATATAGGGCTTCTATAAGGCTTGCTATAAGGTATATAGACCTTCTACAAGGCTCCTACAACGGCAACCACCCACCTGAAAATGTCC